TGGAGGACCAACTCGCCGAGTTGCAGTTCAACACGTCGATTCCGAAGAAACAACTCGACGGGTTTAAAGAACAGAATGACGATTTTGTTTTCTCTTCCTTGTTCAAGTTCATATTATTATCAATTCAATAGAAAACTAAACCTAGGATCTGATACCACTCTGATGAGTTTTGAGCATAACATATAATCCTACGTGTGCATGCAACCCTAATTGAAGATCTACGTTTTCTCTAATTGAACATACAATAATGAACAACAAAGTACAAACCCTAGATCTATGGATAATAATGAAATAATAGGGTTATAATACATACCTTTAAGATTGTTATTGTAAACAATCTTGAATCCATGCTTGAAAGACCTTTGGTAACAAACACCACAAGTGTCGCGCCTCTAGTGGTTCACAAACAAACTCAAGCAAATAAGGAATACTATAGAGAGAGAGAGAGAGTAATGGAAGAGAAATCATTCTTCTCTCTCCAACAGTTATCCTTTGGGGTATAGAGGAATAAATCATTTATTTTGATTTCTATTTAATTTATTAACCAAGTAACAAATTAATAAATCATTCTTCTCTCTCCAACAGTTATCCTTTGGGGTGCAAACGAGCCGAGCTGAGCCCGAGCCTGGCCAAGCTTGAGCTCGGCTCGCTTAAAATTTGTATGGCTCGAGCTCGAGCTTGGCTCGTTTCAAGCCCGAAATAAAGAGCTTGAGATTGGCTCGTGAAGTAATACACAGGCTCGGGCTCGACTCTTTTTGTCTAACTGAGCCAAAACGAGCTTAAGCTTGGCTCAAGCTCGTTTACAAAATGAATTCCAAAAAAAAAGAACCACAAATTTAATTAATTTTCAGCTAGGTGCAGACTACTTAAATTCTAACCAAGATGCATAAATAAAATCTTCAAATTACATAAGTTTTAAACTCCAACATACAAACCTAAAATGTAATAAAATCATTCAAAAGAAAGTCTTCCTATCATGGAAGTTAAAATTACAAAAATACTATAAAAACGATTAAATTTTAACATAACATATTATCAAAACTCAAAAGCCAATCTTCCTTGAAGCAAATTCAATCCAGCAAAATCTACAAATTAAAACATTTTATGAGATGTGCAATATAATGTAATTAAAACAGCAAGATTACAAGTAGATTAAAATGGCTTACACCTTTATGTATTACTTGTCCCTGTAGGTAATAAAACCTCAATGGGCATTTCGTCCTTCTATAAAAAGAACCCACCAACAGGATCAAATACTAATAAATTTAATTAATCACTTGTTAGTTCATGTGTTTTAAGTTTATCAAATGTACCTTCAATGTTTTCTTGATTCCATAATGATGAATAATCCATTATCCTCCACAAATCAACTTTTAAACAGTGTCTGGTGCCAATGAAGATCAGTATGGATCAATTACTCTACCCCTAACACTAAATGTTATCTCAGATGCAACGGTAGAAATCGGGATCGCAAGCACATCCATAACCATCTTTGATAAAACACGATACTTCAGTTTATGAACATTCCACCACTCCAAATCCTTGAATGAATCCATTCCTTTTTGTCCATGGTCCATATAAACACCTTCTTCCAAATACATATCTAATTCTGACTTTTATGGTCTCTCCAAATTTGTATTTTTCATAAACTCCCCAAAAGCCTCCCATCCTGACCTGAGTGATGTTGTTTTTGACACTTCATTTCCTCCACATCCATTTGCAGGCGTTGCAACTTCTCGGACTGATGCATCATGTATTTCCAAATACTCCTCATATATTTCATAAAGTGCTTTCTTCACTTCTTCAATGTTCTTTTCAACATTGGATTATATGGTTGGGAAACTAAATTCTACTAACTTCATTTTGAATCTTGGATCTAACACTAAAGCTATAGCCATGACAAGATGGCACTACCCCAGTATTTGTTAAAACTTCTCCTTCATCTTAGTCACCATAGTCCTAATGAAATCATTTTTTGATAGAGCACCTTTATCCAAAGTTTCTTTTACTCTAAACACCTCAATCAAATACAGATTGGATGTTGGATAATCACTTCCATAAATGACATTTGTGCATACCTCAAAATAAGTAGCTTTAGTATTAGGCATGATAAAATATTTAAAATAACACTTAAATAAAGGTAATATGCACCTTGAAAACCTTCAAGATTTCACATACACTCTCCACATGCACCCACTCCTCGTCATTAGGCAGGTAATGTAAATGTGGCTCGTACTCCGCAAATCTATGAAAATCACAAAAAGTTAGTGATGTGCAATACTTGAAAAATCTGAAAATCACAACATTCAAAACTATTTTTATTAAAATATAATGTATACCTTGGAAAAACATCTTTAAATTTTAATGCAACCGATAACATATCATTGGTTGAATTCCATCGTGTTTGAACATCAAGCTATAACTTTGTATCTTGTATTTGCAATTGATGTGCAATATTTGAAAATGTTTGAAGTCTCGCCTTAGAATTGTTAATATATTTGATAGCCTCACGAACTTCCCCGATAACAGAATCAATCATAGCAAGACCATCTTTCACAAGAAGATTCAAAATGTGTACAGAACATCTAACATGAAACAACCTCCCACCACACGTGAGTTTTCTCACTCTAGAAAAAACTTCTTTTAGTCTTCTCAACGCCCTGTCATTGTATGCAACATTATCTATAGATATCGTGAATATCTTGTCCTCAATTTCCTAATGATTCGAACATTTATAAATACCATCAGCAATATCAAGTCCGATACAAGGAGGAGGAACATGTACAAAACTAAAGACACGTTTTTGCAATCTACAAAAACAAGTCCAGATACCAATATGAATATATTAAATAAAATGGACATGCCTTATTAAAAAATATAAAAATAAATCAAACCTCTAATTATGATTAATAAAGTGCCCTGTGATAACCATGTACTCAATCTTCTGATGAGATGACTTCCAACAATCAGTGGTCAAACTGATTTTTGAGGCTGCTTTTTTAAGAGCTTTCAGTGTTTTTTCTCATGCTCATATATATTAAAACAATCTGCTTTGGTTGAAGTCCTGCTTGTTTTCTCAAATAATGGAGTAGCTGTCTTCATCATATGCACGAATAAATCATCCTCCACAACAGAAAAAGGTTGCTCTGTACCCAACACCCAAGTAGCTATTGCTTCCTCATTTTGTAACTATCATACTTTGCATCAGGAAAAATCAATGAAGGAAGCTTCTCATGTCCTCCATCTCCATCAGACTTACTAAGTGGAAAATTCAATAAATTATGTTTTTCTTCATCATCTTTATGTAGCTTGCATATAAGCAAGTGTCTTTTTAAAGTTGATGTAGTCCCGCTATCACCATAAGTTAACTTTGTTTTACAATGATTACACGAAGCTTTTTTGGTACCATTAGATAGAGTCACCACACCGAAACTGTCCTATTGCTTTGATGTTTTTTTCGTGTTCGTTTCATTACTATTTCCACTTCTCCCGCATGGATTTCTGCATTTTAACTAGGAATATGATTGTGAGTAGTTGGTTGTTCATCAGCATCTACATTTATGGGAGCAGATTGCTCCTTATTCTCAGCCCCTTCCATTGGATCTGAACTCACATCACCATCCATAATATCTGGAGCATGGTTTATGAAAGAACATTGGTCAAAATATGTACATTTAATAAGCATTCTCAATTGATCAGCATTAAACAATAAATTTTCCTGATAAGGATCTTTAATTAATAAACATTGAACAATATGAGTTATCTTCAGCAAAACGATAAATATGCAAACTTAAAACTAGAATTCATAATTCCAACAAGTAGAAAGATATGAACCCACAACACAATATCCTAAGAATCTAGACTTAACAATTAAAAGTAGTATTTCAATTAAACCAAGTTAATATATCCCAAGAGACAAACAATCAAAAAATAGAAAAATAGAGATTGACAACAATCCCATATATCCCAGAAGCTATCTTCGACTGAGTAGAAAAAAAACAAACAGATGTGGATTCTTTCAATTGAGTAGATAACTATTTTATCAGTTTAAGAAAAGAAAAAAGAAGCACGAAGAAACAGACATTGAACCAAACCATAGAGACTGTAGATCAAGCGTATGATATCTGTAATTCACTGTTTATATATCCCGGGAGACTCAAGTAATCGTAACACATGATTGGAAATCAGTAATAAACTAATAATAATGAAATAGAATAATAGATGACTAGAAATCATAACGAAAAACAAAACGTTTGTGAGGTAGCAAAACCCAAGGAATCGACAAATGATAAGATCTCTTCGAATCAGTAGAAAAAAATAGATGAGTGAACAATGGAAGCAACTTACATCAAAATTCAAAACACGATGGAGGTGATCAGAGCTAGGGGTGACAGTAAAGATGAGTGGTCGGTGGTCGGACGGACTGATGGTGCGTATTGTCTGACGACGGTGCTCGATGGGGGAGAACGACGCTTGATTGGAGGGCTGACGTCGATGGGAGACGATAGAAAATCGTTGTCTGGTGGTATCCGTGCCTTCGTGGTAAGTGCTCGCCGGCTCGCCGCCGATAACAAGCGCCTGATTGTTCGAATCACAGCATAAGGGGGAAGGGACGTGAATAGTGGCGGCTCCGACTCATTTTCTTTTGTTTTGAAACGAATGAAAGTCCGTCGTACCCGAAACCTAATTCAATAATTTTCCAAATATCTATTTTAATATATAAAATATAAAAATAAAATATATATTATATTTATATATAGGCTCATTTAGGCTCACGGGCCTAATAGATCTTTGATACACAGACTCGAGCTCGGCTCGGGCTCGATAAAAACCGATCTCGAGTCAAGCTTTTACCGAGTCGATCCCTAGTAGCTCGCGAGTAGCTTGGCTCGTTTGCACCCCTAGTTATCCTATTCAATTGCCAGGTTTGAAGGCAACCCAAAAGGACTGTGCTACTATGAATTCAAATTTATACCAATTATAGTTATGGGCTTAGACACTTAATCCAACAATTTCCACACCACCACATTCTGCACAAGCCCAACTGCAACCTCTTCAGAAACCAATTTCTCCACATGGTCATCATCAGGAATATCGATAACCTCATTTTCAACAAGAAAAACACGGGAGCTCCCTCCAGATAATCTCTGTGGACATAAGCGCACCACAAGTGCCAGACCTCCAACATCTTCATCGTTCATACTCTGTCGGGCCGCCTTGCTCTTATTCACCGACGACAAAACCCCTTCCTTACTATCTTCCACAAACTCCTCTTCCACCTCTTTTTCCTTTAAAGATTCCACACCAATATCAACGGTCATCGGATCAATAGAAGTTGAACGAGAAGACTCCACAACAAGGTGACGTTGCTCAACATCTTGGATAGCATATGCACGAGCTATAAACACCTCATTGCGAAATGGAAAAGATGGCAACACCTTATCGTTAAGATCCGCTTCACGAAACCGAAGACTTCCTACCCACTTCTTCGCCAACACATCCATGAAATCAACCTTCTTTCCGACACCAGAATAACAAAAACCAATCAATTCCTCCCCTCTCTTTAAAAAAAGAAGGGTGGGGGAAGGGATAGAAGAACAACAACAAAAGAAGAAGAAGAATAGAAGCCAAATGACAAACAATATGCATGAGAATCAAAGCAAACCTCGAGATATAACATAGAATTCTTGCATCTTTCCACGAAGCCTCTATGCCATACTTATACCGGGCCCAACAAGGAAATACTCTGGGAAATAACTACCAACAACATGAAAATAACGGAGAACCCTAGCCATCTGCTCTTTATCTGAATACAGAATAAAAGACTGATTGAAAATGGAAGTCGAGCGACGCTCCATTGGCCCCGCATGATCACCATGGACCCAGTAATATCGATTCACCCAATTCTTAGGAGGATTATTTTGTGCAGTCACCAACACATGACTATACTTCCGAACGGCGAAAGTATAACTCTTACTAGAGAGGTGGCAGCGAAACGGAAAAAAATGGCGAAAAACCCAGATGTCCGGGTTAATCCCATTTTCCCGACAGAGCATATCAAAAGCGACTACCTTATTCATGCCATTTGGAACTAACTGATTAATGTGAACCTTATGATGAAAAAGAACTTTCTGAAAGAAGTCTGACGTTGGAAGATGATACCTAGCGTCGAAATGCTTAACATAAATGATAATCTTACCCGCCGACGGATTAATGAAGTTAGCATGCTCGCCGGGAAAAGAAACATCGTCCTCCTGATGAAAGTCGTATCTCTCTTGGAGAGTAGCAAACTGATCGGGAGTGCAAGCAACGCTGATCGGAGAATCCATGGAGAAAGCAAGGACAAGCGTAAAGTAAAAACAAGAGAATAAGCAGGAAAGAGAAAAAACGAAGAGGCAGAAACTATAAAAGCATAAAGGAGTGGGAAATTCGAAAACCCTAATGATGATGGCTGATGTCACAACTGGAAGTCGTTGCAATGTGTAGCCAAAACGACAGCAACCAAATGCAATGAGACGCGACATTAAAGGCTAGTCCGATCCGTTGCAACTCATCACGCCTACGTCACAATGGATAAGACAAGGGAGACTTGATACCTTGCCTCCTAGACACATCGGAAAGCACCAAATACGCTTGTTATATAGCCCGGTCAGCCACTCATCCTTACTACCTAGAACCCATTCCGACCTAGAACGAAATGGCCCTCAACAATCAGGTTCCAAGTTACAACCCGCGCAGGAAAATCGATAGACGACGAGAAGACACATGGTAACTCTAGTGTAGGTGCACACACCACTACTATGGCTAAGCCAATCACGGGTCAGGCGGGGGACAAAGGTACGATCTATCAACTAGTGCCCCTGTCCCGATCGGGGTGTGACACCCCTGTCTCCACGAGCAGGTTCCATACCCGGATCCTTAGTATAAAATGCCTTGTGCCTCCAAAGGTAAATGGATCTTAACCCAAACTCTCTCTAAGCCACACGCTTTACACATAATCTCTCCCAAAGACTGAGATGACCGTTAGAGCATTCTCCGGGAACCTCGTCCCCGAGATCGGCTGACGGTCAGTTTACTTGTTGTGATTGCAGACTTCCACCGGAGCTCTTCCATCTACACCATCGCCACCCCCGGAGATCTGATAACACATCAATATATATATATATATATATATTATATATATATATATATATATATATATTATATATATATATATATATATCGTTTAAGTTATTGCGAGAACTAAATTTTTTTAAAGAACTTGAGAACTCCTGAACGTTCATCATTTTACCAAACCAAGACCATCATTAGTTTTCAAAAGCAGCGACTAAACCATATCTAGGCTAAAAAAAAGATTTGCTGATTTATATATATATATATATATATATATATATAATATATATATATATATATATATATATATCTATATATATGCCTGCGGACGCATTATTATCCGTAGTTATG